CACAGGGGGTTTGGCAACTGGTCGTAAGCATGAACACGTTGTTAAGTACCCTTACTGTGATCATATCATCACGAAGCGGTGATACAATATTTTCCTATGGCTGAAAGTACTTTACAGGCCATAAAATATTGTTTCCTAGGCTGTGATTACTCTGGAATGTTGTTAAAAGAACATAGGCCTGTTCAGATTGTTCTGATATGTAATTGTGCATTACCTATGGGTTGATCACATCAGAAAAGAAATGATAGCAAAATTTTGTACCATCACTGTAATCATTTTAGCTTATGTCTGTATATTTCAATAAACTTCAAACTGGGGGCAGAGATGCTAAGGGACAAAATGGGTAAATTTTGCATCTAAAATCCAAATCTTGCCCAAGGGTATTCCAATCCTGTAGGACAGCTCTTTTCTGATAGAAGTTGTATGCCAAACTATGCTTTGCTAAACTATTCTCTAAGTAATAATTTGCTTAATTATAGTTTAAGTGAACTATAATGAACTAAGTTCATAAAGTATGCATGATCAGAACCATGGTAAAAACAACAGTGGTTGAGCTCATATAACTTCCTTAAGCTCAAATCAAACACATTTTTGAACAATGTGCTTTAATTTTTTGTTAGCGTGCTGAGATCTACCAATGGAATTCTCATGAAAAAGGCAGCATTCACACAAATTTCAGCCCTTTTTAGTTAACCAAAGTTTGCTGAATAAACCACAATGAAGTCGATTTACAAAAACAATAAACAGAAAACCACAGTAGCAACAGTTTCATTACATCTTAATCCTAAACCAAAAACAAACAATCCTACTTTGGCTTTGCTTGTGCAATCCATCCACAGTAAGAATTTGCTTGGTTACAGTAGCTAACTAATCTTGATGTCTTAAGGTGGGCAGAATGTGATCCAGAGGTCCTTGGATAGATCACCAGGAAATCCCCGCTGTATAATAGCCTTGGAAATCAAGAAAAGATTTTATTTATTCATCCTGCCTTTATTATTTTTACAAATACCTCAAGAGAGCAACCATATCCAACACACCTTCCTCCTCCTATTTTCCCCACAACAGAACTCTCTGAGGGTTGGGCTGAGACAGAGGGAGTGACTGACTCAAGGTCATCCAGTCGGCTTTCATGGCTAAGGCATGACTTGTATGGCAGGAGGCAATGCATACTACTTCCATATTATTGTCAAGAAAAATGGCACCGAAAATCAAGTTTTGCTGGAGACTTGAGTCCGTGCACACACATTTTGATGACTTCAAATGTTCTTAACTCCACCAATCGAATGTATTTACAATATATTAGTGTCTACAATAATGCATAGCTTATCATGTTGTTGCTGGCATGCTTAAACACAAGGGATCCAACCACTGCCATCTGCACCTCTATAACTGTCTCGTTTGGTTCTGCAACCCAACAAAACAGACACAGACTTCAGAGGATAAATTAGGACTGCAGAAAAAACAATTACTACCAACCTGCCTTCCATTGAGGACCTGTATACTGCACGAGTCAAAAAGAGGGCTGTGAAAATATTTACAGACCACTCACATCCCGGACATAAACTGTTTCAACTCCCACCCTCAAAACGACGCTATAGAGTACTGCACATCAGAACAACTAGATACAAGAACAGTTTTTTATCAAACGCCATCATTCTGCTAAACAAATAATTCCCACAACACTGTTGTGTAACAGTTTAGTAACTATTTACTAAATCTGCATTACTATCATTATTAGTCTTCTCATCACTCCTATCACCCATCCCCTCCCACTTGTGACTGTATGACTGCAATTTGTTGCTTGTATCCTTAATATTGACTGTTTCCTAGTATGATTTGATTGCCTATTTGTACCCTATGACTATATTAAGTGTTGTACCTTATCATTCTTGATGAATGTATCTTTTCTTTTTATGCACACTGAGAGCATATGCACCAAGACAAATTCCTTGTATGTCTAATCACACTTGGCTAATAAAGAATTCATTCATTCATTCATTCATTCATTCATTCATTCATTCACAATGAAGGCACCAAAAGTCAAGCTTCGCTGGAAACTTGAGTCCACGCACATACACACTTTGATTACGTTGTTGTTAGCATGCTTAAACCACAATGATGGCACCAAAAGTCAAGCTTCGTTGGAGACTTGAGTCCATGCACACACACTTCGATTATTTCAAGAGTTCTTAATTTCAGCAACCCAATGTGGTGACAATGTATTAGTGTCTACTACAATAACGCATAGCTTATCATGTTGTTGTTGGCATGCTTAAACGCCAGGGTGCCAACCACAGTGTTTGCAAGCTACTGGCAAATCCCATGGGCATAACCAGTCTCCCATTTCCCACCCAAATCAAAATGTACCGAACACTCCCTGCTGACAACAGATGAGTCAGGAAACAGAACATTCAGCATCATTACAGGAAGCGACTTCTTATTTGTGTTGCTTACTTCGCTCATTCCACCGGCTACTGCGAGGACGATCGTTTCCTTGGAGACATATACCGACCAGCAAAAAACATCTTCGCCACGCTTGGCAGGTAGGGAGAAAGTAACGGTGGGGGGAAAGTGCAGAAAACAAAAACGTCCACGGAATCCCTACAAGTGATCACCGCTCCGTAAAAAACCACGCTTTGTTTTCAGCAACGTCACAGCTCCCAGATCGCGAAAGCGGCCAAAGAGTATCGCGGGATCTCTAGGAGTCACGATGAACTCGGGAGATTTCGTGCTGAACTGCTTTCTCATTTCACCCACCGCTCTTCTCCCAACGCTGAGGGGAGATCTTGAACTACGATTTCCAAAATACTCTGCCAGCATCAGATCGGAATTCTTGAGGGTTGATAATCGATCTAGACTAGAGCAACGTTTCTCAGTGTTGGCAATGTTAAGCTGCACGGATTTCAACTCCCAGAATTCAACTAGCTGGGAGTTGAAGTCCACGCATCTGGAAGTTTAAAATAAGTATGCTTTAAAGACAGGAAATCTTAGAATATGTTTGGACCACAATTACATGAGTCCCGGTAAAAATGTTTAATAGCACACGTTTCTCATCCCGAAATCTGCAAGAGCAGCGTCCTTTTATGGGATTTAATTTGCCTGTTACACAATAAAGAATTACAGAATATAGACTTGCATTCGGGACAGTTTGAAATGGTGAGGGAGGAAATTACAAGGGGCAAAGAGGATGTAACTTAACTAGAATCACCCTTTGGCTTCTCAAAAAGTATAGAAATTTTATGACACGAGAACAGAAAACTTGTTTTTACTGTAATACGCTCAACTATATATTCTCTTTGAAGTATTGGAGCTGCTTAATTTCTCATGGTTCTGATGTTTGCATCTCTAGAGCCAAATCCAGAACCTTCAGTGTTGTTTTTTTCTTCCATTCTAGTGACTGATCCAGGTCATCTACATGCCCAAAGTGGGACTAGAATTCAGTCTCCCAGTTTCTAGCCCGATTCTACCAAACTGGCCCTCAGAACTTCCATAAACCTTTTCTGTTTCATCCCATAGGTCCATAGCCTTTGATCCTGAATGCAGGTAAATAATTGTTAATTGTTAAAAAGTATATTGTGTGAGTTACAGTCTCAACCCGTGGTAAAAAAAAATAAGGCTATTATTTCTTCAGGACGATTGAAACTTTTTTTAACAAAAGGAAAACATTGATTATGTGCCATCAAGTTTTCCATTCCTAGTTACCTTAGAGAGTGTCATGGAAAAAATCTATCCCTAACTTAATCTTTCAGGTCTCAAAGGGAAATAAGCTACTGACTTATAAAGAATAGGAATTTCTGCAATATTTTCATCTTCATTCATTAGTGTTGGGAGATTACACTATTTCTGAATCAGCTGCCATAACAAACTTACGAAGTTTCCTATAATTGCTTAGCAGCAGTTGTCCATTTGGCAGCACAAACCCTTGGGGAGGTGGGAATGGCATTGTAATAACAGAGGGAGCCTCCTCTTCCAACAATAGTATAGCAGAGTTGGAAGGGACCTTGGAGGTCGTCTAGTCCAACCCCCTGCTCAAGCAGGAGACTTTATAGCATTTTCAACAAATGGTTGTCCAGTCCCTTCTTAAAAGCCTCCAGGGTTGAAGCAACCACAACTTCTGAAGACAAAGGTCCCCCGGTTGATTGTTTTCACTGTCAGGAAATTTCTCCTTAGTTCTAGGTTAAATTTGGCAGCCCCTCAAATATTGGAACACTATCATATCACTCCTAATTATTTTTTACTAGACTAAACATACCCAATTCCTGCAAACATTCTTCATCTTTTAGCCTTCAGTCCCTTCCCTCCAATAAACTATTTCCAGAGTCTCAACATCTTTTTCTTTTAATATTGTGGCAAACAAAATTGGATGCAGTATTCCAAGTGTGATTTTACCAAGGCATTCTAAAGCGGTAGCATAATTTCCCATAATCTTGATTCCTCTGTTCATACAGCCTAGAATTGTTGCTTTTTTTTTTTGACAGCTGCAGCACATTGCTGCCTCATACAGATAGACCTGTATAGCTTACAACAGTTCATTTAGCGACCGTTCAAAGTTACATCATCAATGAAAAGTGACATGACCATTTTTCACACTTAGGACCGTCTCAGCATCCTCTTGATCTCGGGATGAAAATTCAGATGCTTGGCAACTGACTCATAATTTGCCCTGTCCTGAGGTCGTGTGCTCCCCTTCAGCGACCTTCTGACAAGCAAAGTCAATGGGGGAAAAAACCTGTTTCACTTAACGACCTTTACCAACGGCAGTGATTTGCTTAACAACTGTGGCAAGCAAGGTCGTAAAATGGGGCAAAACTCACTTAGCCACAGAAAAGTTGGGCTCCATTGTGGTCGTAAGTTGAGGACGACCTGTATTTAACGAACGCCCTCCCCCATTCCCCCCTAAAACGATGGGGAATCTAGCCCCCACAAGCCTGCCGGTATCTCCAGGAACCGGAAATAAAGCGCGGAGGATCTCGCGAGAGTTCCTATGCGGAAACCGAGCTCGGAAAGACAGGAGGCACCCGGGCGCGCGCGCTCGCGAGAGAGAGCGAGAGAGGGATTGGTGGGTTGCCGCCGGCTGCTGTGGTAACAGGGTTCGGCTGGGGCGCAGCTCGGAAGAGCGCGCGGCTCTGGGGGAAATTCCTCTTCTCCCAAGATGGCGGTGGTGGGGGGCGGGGGAGTGAACCCCTTCCTCAGTGACTCCGAAGAGTCCGAGCCAGAGGAGACCAGGCCGGGGGGCAGCAGCAGCAGCGACCCCGGCGTCTCGGGCGCTCCACTCCCCGTCTCTTCTTCCACCTCCTCTTCGCTACCCCTTCAGCAACTGTTGCCGCCGCCGCCGCCTCCACAGGCCGAGGAACCGCCCCGGGTGCCCGTGGATGCTTTAGCGGCTCAGCTGCTGCGCGACCAGTTCGTCTTGACAGCTCTGGAATTGCACACGGAGCTTCTGGAGAGCGGCCGGGAACTGCCTCGCCTGCGCGACTATTTTTCCAACCCTGGCAACTTCGAGCGGCAAAGTGCGGGCGGTGCCGGAGCCCTGGCACCGACTCCTTCCGCCTCAGGAGCTCCCGGGATCATAGCGATGGTCGGAGGCGGTAAGGAGCCCGGCGCCGGACAGCTCCGTAAGTGGATAATCGTGCTTAACAAAGAGAAGCTTAGAAGGAGACCCTCTTCTTTCCCCCCCTCCCCTTGCCAGGTTTCAGCCCTTGGTTGACCTTGGCTTGGGGGAGGGGTGTTATTTTCAATTCCCCTCGGGGCGTTTGTCAAATCTTCGTAGGAAAGAGGCAGGGATCGTCCCATGGCATGCGTGAAGAAACGCCCCGTGAAGAAACGCTCGATTGCATTACTAGCACCAATACCCGTTTCTGAAAAAGGTGGTGTGACCCTGCATTACATCACATTAAATACCTATGCGCAGGGATCTTCAAACTGGCCACTTTAAGACATGTGGACTTCAACAGTTGAAGTCCACAAGTCTTAAAGTGGCTAAGTTTGGAGACCCTTGATCTATGGAGACTCTCAGTCATCCAGGTCATGGTTGTCCCTCTTAAATTAGCACCTTTGGGTCCTCACATTAAGTACCATGTCTGAACTGAGGGGTTCTTGGTGCTCTCTAAGTTTGTTTGTTTTCTTGCAGACGTTTCATTACCCTAACTAGGTACCATCATCAGTGCTACTAAGGAGTGCTGTCTGCTGTCAGTTTATATTCTGGTGTTTTGCCTGTCTATGTGGGTGGGGGTGGACACAGACAGACAATTCACCAGAATATAAACTGACAGCAAACAGCACTCCTTACTGGCACTGATGATGTTCCCTAGTTAGTGTAATGAAACGTCTGCAAGAAAACAAGCTCAGAGAGCACCAAAGACCCCCTCATTTCAACCCTGAGCTACAAATAGTCTCCTTCATTGGTACCATGTGGATCATTTAGATGACATAGATTGCAACTGCTACCTATTATGAGGCTTTTTCTATTTTTATGGCAAGGTTTTTAAGGGCTATGATGGGTTGAATTATACAGCGTAAGTTAAAAGTAGTTCATGAATCACCATAGCAAAGAATAGCAGTCCTGTGAGTTCAGCTGCTTTAATAATCTGAATTTTATTTACATACACAAATACAATACTTTCACCTTTCTCACAAATATTTTAGTTCAGAGATAAGTTTGAGAGAGACTCTGATAACTAATTTTAGAAGGTCATCATATGAACTTGCTATGGTATTCAATCTTATTCTGTCATTATGTGTTTTGGTTTTATTTTACCCTGCTTCATGACTCCACTAAAGCCAGTTGTGATTTAGTGAACAAACTAGCAGTAAACATAGTGTGATTTATAATGATAATCAAGTTGGCGTTGACTCTTAATGAGTCAACCTCTTAATGAGTCAACCTCAACTTGATTACCAGCATCAAGTTGGTAGATTTTTTTTCATGATGATTTCCCCTTTATCTGGTTTTTCAGGTTTTATAATGGTGTACCCATTACCACTGTAATCATGTTCATATACTATGCTGCTGGTTGGTCCCTTTTTCCCCCCATTATTCTCAGCATTATAGATTACTCAAAGAGAGCTTGGTTATACGTAATACGTCCAAAATGTGATAATTTGAGCCTGGTTATTTATGCCGCAAATAAGAACTCTGAATCAATTTGATCATTTATTTTCTTGTCTATCCCTGATATTTTGAGGAGTCTTTGGTAACACCAAAGTTCAAAAGCCTCAATGTTGTAATACAGTATGTAAAACCAGTCCTGAATTCTGAACCAACTGGTGTTTTTCTGGTTCCTCTTGCCGTTTGCAATTCGATAGAAACTAAAAAGTCATAGCTAAAGAAGCAGCAGTTTTTAATCTGTACTAAACTATTGGCAAAACAAAGATATTAAGTTAATACACTTTACTGATTTTAGCTCTTGCTCTTTCAGAGACCACATCCTGAAATATCAATGCAGGTACATGTTTCATTTTAGAATACTGTGGCACTATAATTAATGTTGAGATATTGGGTTAGATAATAGAAGTTTCATTGAAAATGTATGTGTTGTGTATAATTGCTTATGGCTTCAGATGTGGGAGGATGTTTGGACAATATTCAGTAAATCCTGTTCGATTCAATGTAAGAATAATAAGAAATGTTTCCATGCAAACGTCTCCATCTTTTCAAGATTTAGTATCAATATAGTGATATTTAATTCAGCTACATTGGCAAGGCCACACATAGCCATCCTTAAGTGATTTTTAAAAATGTTAAGTCATTTCTAGTTTGTACTGGAAGATTATGAAGAAATATACACTGGGAAGTCAACAACATATCTCATTAGGTGGCAAGTGTCTAATAATGTTGAGTCAGGAAAGACTTTATGTAAATGATGCCATGTAAATGCTTCTAAGAAACACAATAACTACCAAGAAATGCATCACTGTACAAAGTCAGGTAGAATATTTTAAGCATTTCAGCAGTTTAGAGAGAGGACAGCATTTGTGATTCTATTGAGAAGCTTCCATAAATAACACATCTGCATGCACACAAACATCTGCAGCAGCCAGGATTACACCCATATTAGAATTTTTGCAAAATGTCTTTATGTTTCTGTTACTATGGAGAATAATAATTTCTTTATTTAATCACATTAATAAAAATAAGGAGCTTTTTAGTGTTTGCAAATAACACTAAATCATAATGTTATATGTTTAGTTTTTTATTTAGACATTTTTTTTCTAAGCCAACATATGGATTACCATAAATTGTGACTTATTTAGCAAATAAAATCAGCTCAATATCTGATACTGATAAGGTACAAGGATCACATTTTTACAATACTATACTTGTGACTTGGCTATTTTTGTACAGGCAATGTAGAACCAGCCAACTCACCACCTTCCTTCTGTGAATTAAAAAACTACAGTGTAACATCTAATTAGCAAAACATAGGCTTTAAATATATTGCTTACTAAAACTGCTCATATGAATATTTATTTGCCAGTATAGCTGGTACTAAAGTTTCAAAGCCAATTTTAGTATTGTATAAGAATAATGAATGTAATTTAGTATTATGTTAAGAAAACACATTTTTCTTAAGGCAGGGGCTTTTTTAAGCATTTGAAGATCTGTGGTTTGATACCACTTGATTTTTTAGTAGCATACAATTACCAATTATTTTGTGAAGCAGTCATGTGACACAACTTAGGAGATGGCTGACAGTGGTAATGTAGTTTCTTAGTTTGATTTTACAGCTTTTAAAGCTTTTTGTTAGCTTTTTGTTAGTATTTGATAAGATTTTATTCCTAAGTACTTGCTATTATTGCAAATACTGAGGATTTTGTTTATTAATAATTTGGTTAATGTAAATTAGGGATGTCATCAGGCATATTCACTGTTTAGTTTATTGTCATTGCACCTTGTAGAACAAAATTAAATGCCAGCTTTAGTGTACATTATAACTATAAAAATAAAACACAAACATACATCCTTCAGATTCTATACAGTTGAATTGAAAACCCAATATTGCATTATATTGCACTATACGATAGAGTTACTGCCCTGGGATAGGATATTGCTTTGTAGGTTGTAATACAGGTAATCCTTGACTTAACTATAGTTTGTTTAGTGACTGAAGTTACAACAGCTCTGAAAAAAAGTGACATCATTTTTTACACTTGCTACCATTGCAGCATCCCCATGGTCATAGGATTAAAATTCAGACACTTGGCAATGGACTCATATTAATGATTATTGCAGTGTCCTGAGGTCATGTGAGCACTTTTTGTGACCTTCTGACAAGCAAAGTCAATGGGGAAGGTACATTCATTTAACAACCATGTGACTAACTCAACAACTGTAGTGATTCACTTAACAATTGTGGCAAGACAGGTTGTAAAATGAGGCAAAACTCACTTAACAAATGTCTCTGTAACTGAAATTTTGGGCTCAGTTGTGGTCATAAGTTGACTATTAACATATTACCAAAGAATCCTGCAGCTGTCTGCCTTCATTAGTCATTATCTGTATGTAGAACATATCCTTAGAATAAAAGACACCAGAATTTCTTGCTGATTTTTCCTGTTCTTTTGCCTGGCAGAACTATGCTTCACTAGATATCTTTGCTTTCATGTTGACAGCAGAAATTTATATATAGATTCACCCAATTGCTCCCTGCTTGCCCATCAGATTTTTACTGAAATTTAATAAAAGCCTTCTGACAAATGTTATCTTTAGTTTTTTAGCTAAAATTACATTCATAACATTTTTTAACAAAATTAGCTAAATTTTCTTGTTTCTCCTGCTGCAAAACCTTGTGCTTAACTGAACAATGGTTCACTAAATTAACATGATTGAGTTTACATAATATATTAACTAGTCCATAGATTTAACTACATGGGCTAAACCATGTTGGCTAATTTGGGGAACCAGAATGTTATGTTTATATACCCTATACGTTGTTTCTCATTTTGTTGCTTCCCTCTTTTTTTCTCTTCACTGATGATTGTATAAATTGTTTTAGCTATTGGTCATAAGTAACTGATCTTGTTAATCGTTCACCACTAATTACAATTGAAGGATTCAGAAAAGGTATTTCAGAGTGGAAAACCCCAAAATGTTCTCCTTTGAACAAAAAAAAATCATTTATCATTTTAATAAAATAGAGTATATTTATATTCATTAGACATGCTTCATATTTTCTTTAAGTGTAAATGAGGAAATGATTGCAGCTCATAAAACAAATGAAATAGAAACCAGAGGACTTCATGTAATTACTCCCAAGAGCTGGAGCAGTTATCCTGCGTAATTTGCTTGTCAATGAAATAGTACTTCAAAATTGTGATTAGGCAAAACTGTAAACATATTGGCACAAATGACTTTAATCTTGAAAAAAATGTCAGATGCGAATACTTTTACACCAAGTACACCAAGGATTTAATGTTAGGTTAACACAACTAAAAATTAATAGGTAATTAAAAATTAACTACTTTTCTATATTCTTTAATTCTTATTCCCAAAGAACGATAAAAAAAAGGCTGATACTAATTAGAGGCCATTTCTTAGGTTGGCATAATTTAAAGTCAGGTCTTTATTTACATTACAACATAGTATTTCAAGAATGATTTTAGACAATTATAGAAC